TCACATGACTCAAATCTTCAATGACTTCACATATACAGAGCATTGTTAGTGCTACAGAGGGAAACTGGAAATACAACTGAGAAACTCTGGGAAAGAAAACATAAATAGCTTAAATGGCTCCCTAGTATACCTAATTAAAATTAAAGAATCACCTACAATAATTCTATTTTGATGTTTCCTAAGATAGATATGGCTCTCAAGGCTACAAAACCTTTTCTTAAAAGTTCTAAATGTGCCCCTTTTATCTTTTGGTTTCAGTTTGGATTTTTTGCAAGGCTAAATAGTTGCATAATGAACAGTCACAAGGGGATTCAGATTGGCATGGTATGAAGGGGAGAGCTGGGCCACACTGAAGAGGCTGAGGCCATGAAAGAAGACTGAGGTATCTAAATGTTTCTGGAAATCTATATTCAATAAAATAATTTCCTCAGTATTCTAACACCTGGGTTTGCATTTGTCAGTTGCTTATAGATACTACTCCAAGAAAATATCTCATACCACGGAAAGATAAATATACTCTTGTACATCACTTGGGCTGAATGCAGATCTCTTGATATCGTATCTCTATAATTTCTACTATGCAAGGGCACAGAAGCTGGGTCTGATTCAGATACCATAGACAACCATGTCCTCAAGGCTTGCTGCTGCTGCAGTAATTCAGAACATGGGCAGGTTACTTACATTTGAAAAATTAATGCATTTCATTTCTTTTTTTCTAGTATCTTGATCCATAGATTGGATCAGTTCTCAACTCAAAAGGCTACATCATAAAGGGACTATGTCATCTGCTACTGTGTGGTCTTAGAAATATTATCACAAAATATTATTTCTCTCACAATGAATCAGTTCTTCATGGATAATAAATGTTTTTCCTTCGACCTTATCAAGAAAATCAACAGCTAAATTAAAGTTATTCAGAAAAAGTTGACAATTGTACTGTAATCCAAAACATTAATCTAATTTTTATTATGAACTTATTAACTATTTCTTTATTATTTACTCTTGCTACTATAAAAATTGCTAGTTGTCTGTGAATTTCACAAAGCCATCAATGTATGTTTATTATCATTATTATGGATTTGCAGTCTTTTCTGATGTAACATTGGCATATCACATTTTACTTTTTTTCAGAATTGTCAAGAAGAACTTTCTAATGATATCTGATATCAACTTCCCCATATTCTCTCACCACATTTAATTTTTAGTGAATTTGAGATTTGCTAGATGTGCATTAATATAGTTTGTAATGTTAGCCCTGGAAGATGATTATTTAACAAGACATGAAAAGGCAAAAATTAGTTGTCTGGCATTAATATGACAGGTCTATTAGAATTTTAATTCATCACAAGAAACAGATTTAAAAATATTCAGAAAAATATTCAGGATCTACAATATCTGTAAAATTTTAGTATTTTGCTTTTGAATTATATTCATTTAAGTATTTCTGTCTTGTATGTCTTTTTTTTCCTTTTTTTTTTTTTTTTATAATTTTTATCTGCAATTCCTAAAGAAATATTTTAAATTAACATCTATTTTGGAAAATATTGCACTTCATTGCTTCATTGATTTCTGGCAGTTTCAGTGCTCCCTTAATTTTAGGAAGCAACTGTTTACACAAGCAAGACTTAGGCATAAATATCCTGGGAAGATAATATTCTGAAAAGACAAACAAGATCTTTTACAAGTGTCATGCTGATAAAATAAAAAGTTATATAGGACAGTAATTTTAAAGTCTCTCTTCTATTGTGTTGTTCGTTTTTTTTTCCAAAAATTGTATGTTCTCATTTGAGGTATATAGGGACCTGGTGTTAGTGTCACTTCCTAAAAAAATCATGATTAATACAAAACAAACCCCAGTATATAAGACTGCAAGAAAGAAGGAAGACTATTGTGAAATTCTGGTAATAAGACAGGAAAAACTATGACCTCTGAGTGGCTATTCTTACTGGCACTTAAACTTTACCTTTCAAAATTCAGATTCTATTATCTTAATACAACTGTTTGGAAGATAACATAAAAATTTAGTATCAAGCAAAGGTTGAAGTTATAAATTAAATCATAAATTGCTCTTTAGCTCACAAAAGACAAATCATGTCACTTCTGTTTCCTGGACTTTGCTTTGCACTCATAAAACTGAAACCAAGGAAACAAATTCCATGTGGTGTAAGATGAATTCACTGCCATTTATCTGTTGGAAACACAATGAGTTACTATGTCCTGAAATTAATTGGAGCAGAATAGAAAGTCACTCCTATCAAAGAACCATGCTTAGATACAGCCTTGACTTAAAAAATTAGTAAGTGAAGATTAGTGGTTCACTGTGTTTGTTAAAGAATAAAAATTTGCACTTGTCCGAGGTTTCTAAAGCCACTGGAAGGGTACTCGAGAGTGACCACAGAATTTTTGGATTTTTTTCCTAGAGAAATCTTGTCTGTTATATTACAGTAAATACAATATAAACTCTTATTTAAATACAGGAAACATGCTAAAGTAACAGTGTGAAACAATTTTCAAATACTGTAGAAGAACTGCACTTGTAAAGCTATTTGAGTGCTTCCCATTCATAGTGTATTTCTGTCAAACTGATGCAGGCTCTGCTATAAAACAAACTGAAAATCTATTTTGATTTCTAATTAAAAAGAACTCACTCTAGAGTTAATTACAAAGTATCTAGATATGAATCAGGACTTCTTGGAAATCAATTTCTCACAAAAGAATGCAACATGAAGGCTTCTAATGGCTTCTATGAGATTTAGAGAAAGCTCTCTGCTAATAACTACAGGGATAAGAAAAGTTGCTTTGTTCTTCCATGTGTTGTGGTGATAGTTGATTTTTCATTTATTAATATAATAATTTCCATGTTATTCCAAGTCTTTGATTTCATAAAACCAACAGTCAGAAATGAACACAGTTCCAGTATATTTGTCCCTGGTACTTTTCAAACTCACATTCACTTAGATATGCTCCCCTGAAAGCAAGACAACTCCAATAATAGTTTCAAAACTGTCCTTTATCATCATCATCAATAGCATATCTCCTAAACACAGCTTTATCCATGTCTCAAGGGCAGAGTTACACTGACTGATACTTTCATCCCTCACAGGCACGAACTGCTAGAAGTAAAATGCTCAAGGCCATATTGCCTTCCTTCACCTCATCCCTTGGATTTGTGTGCAGTCCAAATGCACCTCACAAAACAGCAGAAGCTATGGGGACCATCTAGAGTTGAAACAAAGCCCCTTAAACAGTTATCAATAAAGCTGACACCAAACCTAAAAGATTTAAAGGAAAAAGAAAGGTGTGCAAATCAGACAGCAGTCAAGCTTGAGTTGCTGTCCATCATACTGAGAGGGCAAGTCCCCCAGGCAGATGCCAGCTGGACAGTAATCATACTTTACAGTTCTCTACGCCTTTATCTGATGACCTCAAAACACTTGACAAACACTAATTCATTTCACCTCACAAGACTTCTGCTGCTGGCTAAATACCACTACAGCCTAAATAAGGAATAATTTGAGTGTCAGTGACGATAGTCCGAGCTTTCAACTAACAGCAAATTGCTGTCCTTGCTGTGCACCAGTGGCAGAAAATGCAGATGAGGAGATGCCAAAGGTTTCTCAGAGTCTGGTCTGCTAAAACAGAAACTGGCTGGGCAAAGCCAGCCTCTGGGGAAAGGAGATTCCAAGGGTTTCTCAGAGCTTGGTGTACTACAGCAGTGAGATTTAGGCAAAGCTAGTCTCTGGGAAAAGCTCAGCACCAAATATCTCCTGGTTTTATAATCTGTGTAAGCAGATTTTCTTCAACCTCTTTTCTAACTTATCCTTCGTATTTGTACATGGCATCACAACTTACAAGGATTTTTCTTACCACACCAATAGTAAGAACAGGATTTAGTATTTGAAAAAAACAAAACCAACAAAACAAAAGGCATAAAAGAAGAATTTATAAATTTACCAGATTATAAATGTCTCGGTTTCTTACACTTTAAGTGTTGAGACAAAGCAGAGATGTAATGAAAATTACTGACTACGATTTTTTACTATTAATCTCCCTGATTATCATTTTTTTTTAAGCTTTACTTTCTTTTCTTTCCAGAAATTTAAAATCAAAGGCAGTGCCTGCCTGACATTGGAAATAATGTCCCTAGAAATCCGCAAAGTGACAGCTGTTTACCAACATTTCAAAGAAACATAGAAAACATAAAAGTTACCAAGGATTGGATTGCAGAACAAGGTCAGTGAAGGCTAAACCCACAGGAAGTATTTATTTTCTTTCAGTAACTGCTTATGTGTTTAGAATTGTATCTCATTCTATCAATAATGCAATCATTATCTGCACATTAAGTTAATTTTTTGTATAATAATGACAAAGTTTTCAACAACATTCTCTTAGATAAGTGATATTTCAAAACATATGTGTAGTGCAAAAAGTGATATTCTATCAAATTTCAATCTACTGTCTTTTAAAGTGGCATATCAAATAAAACCTTTAATGTCAAGTTTTCAGCATTGCCTGAAGAGCCAATTTTGTAAAGTTCCTACCAATGGAAAGTTTCAATGAATGGAACTAGTGATATATAGATATAAAGATTTTCATTATCAGATTAATGTCATTCATTCTCAGAAGAATTGTCAAGGACTTTTCTGTGGTAATTCAATAAATGCTTGAAAGTATGACTTTTTAATCTAAGGCAAAGTTATTTCTTAACCCTTAAATACTCATGTTGGAAAAAAAGTTATATCTCATAAATCATAGCAATTTATGTACCATTAGCAGTTCAGTGGTTCAATGCAAGTGATAGCTGGTCAAAATATTTTCATATTTTCAGTTTTAAAAAAATTCCTAAAAATTAAATTACAATTCTATATAAATGTTCTATGCTTAGTTAAAAGAAAGTATTGTTTGTAGCAAAATGAAGCCAAAAAAACACCCCAATCATCAACAACAGGCCAAATATTAAGGAAAGCCACCAGAAAGAGCAAGTTTTAAAAGTTACTTACGCCTGTCTGTCCCTGTACATCTTGTTAAGTTTCTCCCATTCAAAATTAAGTTGAGTCAGCTTTTCTTGTATATTTGCTGCTTCCTTTGGTGTAACATTTTGCAAAGCCGGTGTCTTCTTGTTGTTAATCATTTCTACATGACCCTGCAGTCTCCCAAGGCTATCCTTAATGCTCTGTAATATCAAGATTTCAAAAAATAAAAACAAAACAATGTTTTTTATAAATAAAAAAACCAAACATTCAGAAGCAAAAGAAATTGGTACACAATGCTAATTAAAATGTAACATTGATAATAAGACTAATTTTACAGTAACCTGGTATAATAACTGAATGTCCATCCTTTCTTTAAAGACTGAATGAAATAGATTTGAGGAAGGCAAAGGTTGGAGAGGAAACAAAGTGCTATTGACTGAAAAGTTCTGCATGTCAATATTTACATTTCCTGACCTTTCATTTCCCTTTACTTCCCAATTCAGAAGCCATTCCTTGGAGCAGTCACCAGGATAAAAGCCTGCTGAGGTACTGAGATGATTTTGTGGTGTGCAATGTGATCACTGTGAGGAGCTGCAGAGAAACTGAGCAAGATGCAGGGAGAAAATCTTTAATAATAGCACAAAAAAAATAATCTGGAAAAACCAAAAATATTGGCCATTAACTTCACTCAGTTGGCAAAAAGCATAAACTTGGTACAAAAATGACACTACAAAATTTCATGTCCCTGGGGCATGGCAGTAAAGAAAAAAAGCATGATCCTTGATGGTTTTTGGTTCAACTTGAAAAAAATGGCTTTCTTTTTTGCTATCTAATCTTCCTAGGATGAGATAAACAAATGTCTCACAATCAGTCTACACAAATGAATAAAAATAAATGTACAGTAGACATTCAGCAAAGGAAATTTCATATAAATACAGTAATAATTTAGAAAAAAAAAATCAAAAATTTATCTTCTTTAATATGAGTTACTCTTAATTTAAACAAATTAATCTTGCATCTCTAAAAATCTCATCACTTTTGTTTCCTCTCATGTAGGTCTTTTTTACATACCCTTCTCTAAGTATTTTCAGATTATTTACTTTCAAACTATTTAATATTTTTTTTTCAGATTAAATATGATATATACAGCCAAGTTGTACTCCTTTCTGAGAAAATGGTTTACTTCTAAAATTATAAAAAAATTATTACAGAACAACAGCTGCTTTCTGGATAAAAATAGACACTGAGAAAATATTTCGAAGGTACAATTCAGTGCATAATAACTGTGTTATCCAAAATTCTTAAGTAACAGGTGTAATTGAAATTTTTTACCATGCCACTGCTGATTTTTTTTGGTTTTGGCTGTTCCTTTTTCCTGGATTTAATCAAATTAAGAGTAATTTTTGATTTGTTCCAATTTACTGAACACTATCAAACCATTTTTAAACTGCATTAAACAATACTAATTTTGATGCTGGTTTTAAAGTGGTGTTCTACTAGTAACTTTCCATGTATAAAATTTAGTTTACTCAAAGCTTCAGAGATGTGTGCAGCTACTAGAAAGAGATTAGTTAGTCCTAGAAAGCCATTTATAAACTGGATAAACTTCTTGGGCAGCTTGAACCAAACTGAAGCACTTCCCAGTCCATGAGTAGGGTGGTCTTCTCTCTCTCCTGCCTTTTTTAACTCATGGAATCTAATTCTTGAGAGCTGTGAATGTTGATTTGGCTTTTATCCCTGCAATTCCTGATTTTTCTTAATAAACTTTTATGATATCCATGTAGATTGTACTTATAATTTCTTCTTCATTCAACATTTATGAGTTCTGATTCAACAAATGGGGTTTATTTCTCTAAACAATCACACAGTCCATCTCATGGCTAGACAAGTTCACAATTTTATTGTAATGAATTTGATTTAAAAACAGTTTTTTAGAACCATGGCTATGACAGAGTGTACTTCTGTATTACTAGTAGTGCTAATATGAAGCAGCAGGGAAGTAGGGATAATTATCAAAATCGTTTTCTCCTCCAAATTGCTGGATAAATATTTTAAAAACCCTAACAACTTTATAAAAAATCTGAATAACACTTGAAGTGACAAAATTGGTTGTAATTTTTTAACTAATTGAAGTTATTACACTGCATTTACTATTTTGTAAAATATAAGACTTGAAGTCTTTATATAAATGTGAAGGCAATGCATTGAAATAATTGTGTACAAAACCACCCTGGCAAACAAAAGAAAAAATACTCTGGGTTCCCTGGGTTCCTAGAGCTCTAGAACTATAATATGCTATTTGTTGGGGGAAAAAAAAATAAAATTATACATTCCATAATGTCACCCATGTGAATAATAATTTGAATTTTTAGGACTTGAGAAACGTGACTTACATTTAGCACACTAAATAAATATTTATGAGTCAAAAGAGAATGGTAGATGTCATGTCTCTGGAATGAGTCACAATAATGTACATGTTTCCTCTTTGCCAGCAATCTATCATTTGGAGGGAAAGCTGGCTGGGTCTGCATCATTACTCAATAAACCTCATCTGACTTTCCCAAAAAAATGCCTCACACTCAATGATCCGGTCTCAGGTCTACTAAAAACTTTGTTTTACACACTCTTGTCATGGATAATTCAGATATTCAATGTTATTAATCTGAATATAAGAAATATCAGATGATAAAAAAATAAAATGCCTCTAAATATTCCAAGATTATATCCCATGAATATAAAGGAGGCAGCATCTTCACAAAACCTCATCCCAGACTAAAAACTTGCATATTTGAAGAACAGAAGAAAATGTAATTGAAATGTTATAAGCTGCCAGGACACACTTAAGCACCCCAGTGAAGTGGGCTTCTTTTCAGGAGGTCAAAATATCAGCCTCCCAAGAAGGCACTTCTTGTGTTCAACGTGCTTAAGTAGCCAAATGAAGAATAATATATGTGGCTATGTATATTGAAATTGTAGGCTTTTTCAACCAAGTGGATCAATTTTCTAAATATTAAAAATAGCTGAAATACATCTAAGCATTTCAGAATTGGTAAGTGATATATCCCTTGATTTTTAAAATTAGTGGTCTATGAAAAAGGTACAGAATTTCTGTGCCAGATTTTTGCTTTTGTTTAAAGCACAGCTGCTATAGACAGAGCAAGATGATACAGCTGATGTGCTGTAAATGAGTATAAGAATGTCCACAAGAAAAAAAAGACCAACAAAAAACCATGTATATATACACATATACACATGTATCTCCAACATATTCCCCTTCTGCCTTTCAGGTTGAGGAGAATGATCTGCAAGCAGTTATCAACAATGCCTTGGGAGATTTTGTAACATAGTTAACAGAAGCAAACAAAGCCTTAATTTTTTAGGTAAAAAGGATAACAGAAAATCATTAGCAGCTGAAGTGACAGTAGCCTTTAGGGACTGATCCATCTCGCTGCTCTTAAAAGAGAAATCCAAGTGCTAGAGACTCAAGCCCCAGCTCATTTTCAGTACCTGGAATTTGTCTTTATCTGACAGAGAAAGACACTTCCTGTAAAAATTCAGTTCCTTGGCTATTTGTGTACAAATCTGCCACCAAGCACAATGTTACTGACAGATCTATTTGGAGAGTGCATGTGAGCACACCCAGTTCTAAGGTATGGTTAATTGGGTTTTATTGAACTGCAGCAGAAAATCACTCTGAATTTCACATTACGTGGTGCTTCTTGGTAAGAATCACGTAGTACACACCAAATACATATTCCAATGTGTAAAAATAAAAGTGGCTTCTTTTTCATTCCAAAAATTTGTGGAATTATGATTTATATTTATGTAGCAGATTTGTTACAATATTTCATGCTAGTTGTACTAACATGAAACTCAGTAACAGAACAGTGGTTAGTAATCATGGATGGCTGGAAAAATTCCACAAATTAATTGCAATTTTAAAATCTGTATAGAATTATGAGTTACAATATCTAGTATGGGTATGACTGGCTTCATAAACCATTTTGAAAGGAGATTCTTCCTGCCAGAATATTGGATGTGTGATGTGTACAACGAATTCCTATATTCTGAAATATAACACAGTAGAAAACAGTGCAAAGAAACCCGTTCTATCTGTCAGAAGATGAAGGATTACCAAAGGAAAAAAGAAGAGTAAAGATGAATCAGAGCATTAAAATATCCATATTTAAAAAACAGCACAGAAACCAACCCAATTTTTAATGAACTAAATAAATGCCCTATGGGAAATACAAAAGAAGATGAATTAGAAGCAGAATTGTTAGAGTGATTATGCAAGATAAATATTTATCTTACATATATAAGAAATCTCTTCCTCAGAGCCAGATGGCTTTCCATATTAAAACTATGACATCATTAAAAGTATGATAGCTAAGTGTATAATCATATTCTACAATAAGATGTTCCTGCCAAAATTAAGAATATTAAAAAATAAAAATAAAAAGAGACACTAATATGTGTGGGCCCTATTGCAGGTCTGCTGTGTCATTATATAATGGAAGTAACCTCAGGAAACAAGTTTTGAATTCAAAGTTAATAGAATTAAGTAATGAATAGACACAACTATGTCATGTCTTTGACAGTGATCCTTAAAAATTCTACTATCAACTCTTTCACATATGGTTATAAATTAGATTTAAATTCCAGGCATTTCATTTTGACACACTTTTCCTATGTGTTAGCAAAGAGAAATATGTGTTAGTTTTATTCTCTAGTTAATCAGTGCATTTATTTCAGTGTATACATCTCCCACTAAATAATCTGGAGTTCAAGCAAGTCAAGTAGCTTGCATGAGATAATCATTACACAGGAAAACTTTGCCTTAGTATGAACAATATAATAATATTAAGTAGAATATATGCGAATTTTTACACTGATTTATCTTCAAGGAAACATTTAAAACATCAGTCAGTCGCAAGGAAGGGTAATGAGCTAAAACATGAAGGTATTTTATCCCTAGATTTGTTCATGCAATGGAATCCATTGTAATCACAATCAGTTCTACACAGATAGCTCAAAGATTGTGATCTCCATCAAAATGAACTTTATCAGTAGCACACAGAAAAAATGGTGGTGCTTATAACAACACTTGCTCTGTTTTGAAAGTGTACCAGACCAACTTTACTAATCCATCAACCTCTGAACCACAATTTTCTGTACAATCAACTGGAGTTTCATCTTTGAAAGAACTGTAATATTTAAATTGTTTTTAAAATACTGTCAGCACAGTGATAAAGAAAAACTGAGGTACTCTATAATACTTGAAAGAGCTTGTAATGGGATGACAAAAACATTGCAATGCTCACTTTATGAGACAAAGTGACAAGACTTGGTTTCTCTATATGACTTTTCCACTTACTACAGCTTAAAATGAAGAGAAAAATATTCCTATGACCTGGTTTCAGCAGATACACTAAATGTGTTCATTAAAGTATTACAGTTTAGTAAATGTTAAAAGCTACCAGATTTTTGCTGCAAAACCTCATATTTTACTATTTCACATGACTTTGATACAAAAAGTCAGTTCTATGACAATTGATATTAGCAATTTTTAATTTGCATTCAATATTTATCCTATTTGATAATGAGTAATCATGTTTAAGTCTTACTAAACATATTTACTCTGGAGAAAATGTTCAAAGCTGTTACCACTGATTCTTGTAAATAAACTTGTTTTTCCTTTTACAGATTAATTAAAATGGATTCTTTCTGAATGGGAGTGAAAAAGAAATCAAAAGCTCAGTTTTAAAACACAGAACTATTCATGACAGTTCTATAATTTGATTCACGCAAATCTGTCAGAGAAAAAAAATCAACGACAATTTAATTTCAAACCTTTCCCAACCAACTGCTGAACAATTTATGCACTACTTTCCTATTTTTACTGCAGGATAATGACAATGATGGATGCTTTCCTTTGGAAATAAATATTCATTAAGCAGGCTCAGATCAAACCTATACCCTTCCAAAAGCCCACAAATGTGCAAGACCCATTTGCCTCTTCTAAGAGATTTATTTTGTAGGAAGATGGAACTGTGCCCACAAATGCATCTCATAACAATTTAAAAGTTCAGTTAAATTAAGCCTATGGTAGTACTTACTTGTAACCTCAGTAATCAATATTAGTAAAGTTGGTGTCAACTCCAATAATACCAAATATATGTGAGTGAACATCAGATTACTTATGGATATAGATCAGATAAAGCTAGCCCAAATGTATAGTGTTAAGAACTAAAAGGAAGTAATTTCCCAATAAATTCCTGAGGTAGACCACTGTTTCTCCATCCAATCTATTGTGATCAGAGGTTCATCAGCGAGGATCATGTAGATGCTCATTAGCCATCATTTACATAGTACATGACTATTTTTTCATTGTTTTGTTTGTTTCTTGTGCAGAAGAGATTGTTTAAAATGAAGAATGACAATTAGGTTGGCATATTTTGTGCTCCAATACTCAGACTAACTTTAATTTACCGGTACTAAATCAGAAGTGATAAAAGAAACAGTCTGTTGGTATTTGACAACTGTTGATTGACATCCTATTGCCAGTTCTGCGCTTCCTTTGATCCAACACTGTTATGCTTCACTACCCAGCTCTAGTGCCTCACTAGGAAACTGAAAACATCCTAATTTTCACAAGCTGATAAGATTATTTCTGTGTGTGCACCTGTGTGGGTATAGAAATGCCAAAGATATATAATATCTATGAATGCATAAGAATTATAAACAGATGTGATTTTACAGAAGCTAATAGAATCATATGGATATTGTTACATATCCTCTGATGTGGAAGGAGATAAATTGGCTCCCACAGAGGAAAATTCAGAGCATATAGCCAGAGCCACTGCCATGATTCTCCCTTTAAGCTTCTTTCTTATAGCTGACTGTAGGCAACTTTCAGGCTCTTGAGGCTAATATTTACTTTTATTTAAAACTATTCCTTTTCCTAAATAATCACAGAAAAATGGAAATAAAGTCTTCTCTTCATGCTGGATGACAATTTGGAATTGCTGTAATTATATACAGCACTTGAGTGCAATTTTTTACAAGGCTTTCCTCACACAAACATTATTCTGCAAAAGCTGATAACTCACTCATCTACTTAGGCTTACAACTTTAATCTTATTCTCTTCTTATGTCAATTCTGTGTTGGAAAAATTCCACCAATTTCAAAGGATTTCAATGTTGCAAGCATTGAACAAACAAGGCAATAACATTTCCAGCACTGAAGAAACTACACAGTAATATTTAAAGTCATACTAACAACACTGAACTTGCTATTTCTTAACTACATTATCTAATTATTGGATAATATTCTCTGTTTAGCTAATTAAACAGAAATAACTACATGGAATACAGACCCAATAAGATCTCAAGGTTTTTTTGTCTAACATGGTATGCAACATGTATGTTTTTGTTCCAGTTTCAGTAGGAATAATTTTAGAAACCATACAGTAAAATAAAACAGCTAAGTTTGGGTGTGGACAGGGTTTCTTAGTAATTACTTATAGTTACCAATCACAGAATCACAAAATCACTTGACCACTAGGAGATGAGCTCAGCTGGTCAGAGCATGGTCTTGTAACACCAAGATTGTGGGTTCAGTCCCTACATGGGCTGTTTCCTTAAAAATTGGACTTCATGACCCTTGTGGGTCCCTTTCAACTCAGAATATTCTGTGATTTAAATTGGAAAAGATCTAAATCGAGTTCAGCCATTAACCCAGCACTTCCAAGTTCACCACTGAACCATGTCCCAAGTGGTACTTCTACATATCTCCTAAACACCTCTAGGAATGGTAACTCAGCCACTTCCCTGGGCAGCCTGTTCCAGTGCTTAAAAACCATTTCAGAGAATATTTTTTTTTTCCATTACCCACACAGAAACAAACATTTAACCACAAATTCTATCTTTAAATATACTGTGCCTCTCCATCCTTTCTCTCCCATTCAAGGACTTAATATGCAGATACCCTAATGATCTTGTCCTCCAAACACACGTTAAACAGGTAAAATAAATGAATGCTTCAGTGTTTTTCACATTTTCCCAAATGTGCCCTGCAATAAAAACATCCATTATATGCACAGATCACAGAGATGGGCTTAGAACTTGTGAAACAGATGTCTCAGAATGAGCACAGGCTGCCAACATACAGAAGCCCCAAAATGATGCAATCTAATCATTGCTAAGAAGATCTTTCTATCTTACCTTGAGACACTCTTCTTGTTTGAAGAGATCCTCACAGTCCTTAGCCTGCAGAACAGGAGAATTAAGGCGCTCTTCCACTTCAGACAAGGCTTGCAGGAGGTGAAGGATCTCTGCCAGGTATGTAGAAGGCACATGAGTGGTTTCCATAGTCCTAGTTTCAGTCATCACAAAAGTTGTATCTTCACGAACTGTTTGCTAGTATAGATATACAACAGAATGCTTCCTTTAGTTTCTTAACACCAGACAAAATTACAACAATGCAATTTCCAGTTCACAACCCAGAAAGAAAGAAAATCAAAAGTAACTTCCAAGGACAAATGCAGGAAATGTCTGAGGTTTCTGACACAAATCACTCATATTGCTTGTGTGTTTGAAACAGTGGGTGCTGAAATTAATCCATGCAAGAGTGTGACTCTCTACTCTCTCTTCTACTCCCCAAAGAAATGCAGAGAGGAAGTGCAAGAGTATGCTGAGATTATGGTGTTACTGAGATTTTAGTGCTGGCCCTTTCATTTTAAATCATCATACCTCTTGAAAAATCTGTCCTTCATTAAGAAATTCTATGCATGCCAAGTCTAAAATAACAATATCTTCAAGGTGTCAAGTAAAATAATTAAATTACTAAATTACTAATTACAAAAAATAATTGTATAATAGACACAATTCTTTAAATAAAATGCGATATATAACAAATATGCCAACACTATACTGCCAATTATACTAAAAATTTCTTTAGCAAGAAAAATTTGCAATTTTCTGATTTGAAGGGTCTTTAATGCATTCTTATTTCTAAAAGAAAACTCAGCAACATACCTCTTCATCAAGTCAGGATTTTTTATTTTTTATTTTTTTTTTAATTATGGAAAACTATGAAATAGACACCCTATTCTGGAAGCACATGCATACACCAAATGTGAAGATATCACAGAATGTTTTGTTTCCAATATGCTTGGAAAGCTTAGTTTATTGAAGGCATTTGAAAGCACACTGACATATAAGGTAACAAAAAAGTGTCTGTTTATATAAATTCTCTGTATTTCCCATTTGACTTGTTAATGAATCATAGATAAAAATGTAATACCAAAAGTGTGCTTTGGAGAAGGGAGATCTCTGATTGCTTCTTTTTACTAAAATCCAAATACTGTCACCTGCATGTCCATTCAAAAAGGGAAAGTTTAAGATGTCAATTATTTGTGGTTTCACAAGTATAATTCCATAATCCATAAACATATTTGTTTGTGGATTTCTAGTGTGGGACCAAGATCCTTTGTGCTTGTTGCCTGTCTTCTCAAAATATAAACTTTAATTATTGTTGACCTTTAGAAGTTGTACAAATAATTGTTGGTAAATATTCAAAAATTCTATTATTTAGATTTGGAGCCATTTATGTGAAAGACAATTGATCAATGGTCCTGAAGAAAACAATATTGTTATTCAACTACTGATTATGCAAAAGAAAACAAATATAATCACACACTACCTCAGCAAGGTGTCTCATTTTAATTCAGGACATATTTCTCTCTTCAGTTACCGAGCTGAGTCATCTGGTTCTTCAATTTTCTTTAGAGTCTTAAAATATGCATATACACACTCTAAAAGATGTATGCATATCACATATAAAGCCCATAAAGTTATCTGTAGACTTGTGTTATTCTGTTGCATTTCTTATGCAAATTTAATTGCTTTGCTTACACTTTTCTTTCTAAATGACTTTCTCAGTACATCTGCTAACACTGAAACCTCTCTAATTACCATATCATTGCTATAATTTTTATTATTTAAAATAAATTGCTTTAAAAAATGGTGCTTGCCCCCCATATGTTTCATGAATCAAAGGCTCTGCAAAAATATCAGTTTACTCCTGCGAACCTAAAGAAAAATCTGTCCCATTTCATTGGAAATGGGAGAGTCTCAACAGGCCACTGCTGCATGCAGCAACATATATTTTAATTCCTCAAGACTACACAGTGACACTTCTGCATGTAGCAATGAACTTCAGACCCACCTAAGGAACATTTAAACTATATTTGTATTTTTTTTTTTTTTTGACTCAGAGGACAGAATTTTTCTACTCACAGTAATGAAAGAGCACACTAGGTGTTCAAGGGTTTCCACTCAAAAAGAAGCCACATGAATATGTAAAGCAGCATACAAAATATGATTAGTTTCTAGAGTTGTATGAGAATAGGCTGTTCTTTGTAACCCAAATTTAGACCAATAAATATATATACACACACATATATTCACATGCATGTATTTAGATAAAATAAAAACTGTGTCTTATCATTCTAAACTATTCCTGAAATTACAAAAAAGTCAGCAGAAATCGGATGTGCAAACACTCCGTGGATATCACACTTAATAATTTATAGTGGCAAAATCAGGTACCTTTCAATAACTGTTATGAAGAAAAACGGGATGAATGCAACAATATATTCACACACTTCCCTTACAGAAAACTTTAAATATTTCTCATAGATGGATGATTACTTATATATTTCTACTGTTTATATTGTTAGCTAAACTGTAAAACACTAAACTCAAAAATAAATAAATAAACAAAAAGATAGATATATAGAAATAGACACATACCAGAACCTGTCCTCCTAGTTAGGTACATTGTTTTTAAAATGTCACAGTCAAAATAAATTAGTTTCTGAATACTTTTTTTTAAAAAAGAGTTGAAATTTTTACACTACTTTAGAACTCAAGGATTAGGCATCTTTGTCTATATTGGGGTTTCCAACAGGCCACAGGTGTTTATTTCCTGCTATCTTTCCTGCATGGAAAGCACCATGACAGAGCCCACAGCAGAAGCTGTCATCTTGCGCCAAGGAATGGAGGGTAGGCATGTCCAGAGCTGACAATTTTAACCAGCAAAGAGAAGCATTTTTAGCTGGTCCCAATGTTCCCTGGAACTTCCTTATGACAGACAATAAAACAAGCAGAGTCCTTCCTTATACCCTGGACAAGCAACTTACTAGGAATGCAAAGCTGAAACTGAATCACATCCTAACACCAGTGAGAAAACAACTTAGGAAAGGAGAACACAGGAGCTGGGAACAACTACTGTTAAAATAATATTAATTCAGTAGAGATATATGTAATTGTTAATGCCAAAATGGCTCATCAGAATCATGGTAGGTTAAGATTTTATAAGGATTAAAAATCAATAGGAAAGTGGCAATTAAAGATTTAGATAACCATTTAAGAATAGCTTTGGATAAGTTGAATCTGATAAAATGGCAGAATGCATTAGAGTAACTTAAAAATACTTAAATTAGTATTTAAGAAAATATATAGTACAACATATATATATAAAATACAAATAAACTGTTAAGTGATTGGTAAATGCTGGGGTAAGTGGACATTTTCTATATTACTATTTCTGTAAAATACAATTTTAGTGATAATATTTTTTTCCTTGATTGTTAGTGATATAATGATGTGCAAATTATTTTTTCTCTTTGAAAAAACAACTTATTTTGTGTAAGATTTAATATTCTATGCATTTCTTGTTATCAAGCATTATCATGTCTTGAATAGTAAACTGAATTTTTTTCCCATCGTTACATAATTTTAATTAAGATACACAACCCTTCCATACACGACTCCACCTAAACTAATTTTATTGACAGCTACCATGCCCTACCAGGTGCAACAAAACTGTAAGAAATAAATTCATAACCTGTCCCTTACAGAGAAGGCCAATAAGGAAAACCAAAACAAACCAACCAAACAAAATGACAACCAAAAACTCAGCAAAAAAGTACTGGAATAATGCAGATTTTGCTGAGAAATTCACATACCTTCTCCACAGAAATACTTGTGATCATTACTACCAACATCAACACAGTGGTGGCATAAGAGCTAACTAGTCTTGGAGGATGTTGCTAATTTCCATTTAACAGTGGGAAATTTGTTGTTAAAGCTCCTTTCACCAACCTCATTGTATTAATTTCCTTTCCTCTTTTTGCAGAGGGAATAATCCTAACACCATTTTTGCTGTCAAAGAGTTTGCACCCAGAAAGCCTCCAACTTTCTTGTGTCAGATTTTAAAAACTGTTTGGATAGGGCTCCAAACCTTTGTGTCTGTGCTTTTGATTTAATGACTTCACACAAACATGGGAGGAGTAAAGCTGCAAAACACTCCCATTCACTTTGCTATACCTCAGCACTGCTCCTGGCAGCATCCTGATGGGAGGTTCAAGGAAAACAAACAAATGTGCCTATTCCTGAAGTGAAATAACACCTGAGAAAGTATTCCTTGCAAGCAGCTGTATAGAAGTGTAAAAAATCTGTGACCTCTGCAGAACAAATGTGGTGTGCTACACATATGAAAAAAAATGGATCAGTCAACACACACCTTCTGGACAAAGGTACTGATACCTGACAGAGTCCAAAAAACTTGTGAATCACATGGTGTCTTGTAGCCCATGTTCACCATCAATATATCAAATAAACAATTAGACACACAAAAGTATGATAAAATGCTATCAGAGGTCAATAACCACTTCAAAGTACATATTTATAAAAAAGCTTTTATTCACTCAATCCTTTGCCAACTGTGAGTGAGTGGTGAGATGAGCTAACATTGAGAGAAATTTATTCTGCCTTCAGTGTTGCTAACATATCTTACCTGCTGGTGTGCATATAAGTAGAAAAATTAAAATGATACTGATTATATAGAATTTTCACTATGAGACTGGCATAGTCAATCACAAACCAGTGATACATTACAAAAAGAAGCATCTCTTTCAGTTATGGAGAGATGTAAATCCTAGATGCAGGATTAAAAATTTATAAACTCCTTATGTAATTCTATGAAGACACGACCTTAAAAGTCACTTGGAAACAATAAAATATCTTTAAAATATTGATAAAAAGTAATATTTTTAAGTAAAATAAATATTGCCTCATGTATGAAGGTTTTGGTTTTTTTTCCTACTCATGTAGCAGAGTGGTTGCAGTCCACAAAATCCTGCACATTGCAACACTTAAACCATATAGTTTAATGCTTGTATCTGTTTTCATCAGTTACTTATATAAAAAAAGAGACTTTAAAAATATACATGACTATTTTCAGCACTGTTCTTGGACAGAGAGTGCTTTATGCCTTCACAACACTTCTCTCCTAAGGCATACCTTACCCGAGAAATGCTGCTTTAACAGTTTTTCTTCTGTGATAAAATGAC